ATGGAATTTCGAAAATCTCCCTTAAATTTATAGGAATATATTCAAACCATTCAATAAAATATAATTCAAAAAAGCTTTTACAAAGAGGTATTCAAAATTATTAAGAAATATTTGATAAAATATAATTCGATCTGTTGAAAATTCAATGTGATTGAATAGTGTATTCTATCGAATCATTTTGAGGTGTATTAAAAAATATCTAATAGAATATGATTCAAAAATTGCAAATTGATAATTTATTCGAATATATTCAAATTTATTGAATTGAACGTAATTGAATGTTCTATTTATTAAAATCTATTGGAATATTATATTTGAAACTATTGAATTGCATGTAATTGCATAATGTGTTCTATCGAAACATATTAAAGTATATTACAAAATATTAGATAAAATGTAATTACACGTCTATTTATTATTAGTGCTATTAAAAAAGATTCAATAACACAGGACCACAAAATGAACAAGAAAAAGTCTCTAGGCGAAATTGATACCCTATAGGTATTTTGGGCGCTGATTTTGTATCTGAACAAGACTTCAAAGACATCGACAGAAGATATCAAGGTTATTGGAATATAATATGATGTCAAACTATTGTTGATCTCTTAAGAGAAACACTACTATTCGACATAAATGCAAGTCTCTTCGTAGATTTCTTCATAATAAACGGACACGTCACTCGTAAGTTTTTTGCGGTTTATAGATACATGATCAGATACATAGATACATGACCAGAATGTACTTAAAAGTCTATAGTGTAATCCTGTATGGGTGAAACATAAATTTGATCTATCGGTGAGTCGTTTGACCTTTAGATGACCTTGGAGGTTCATGTTGGAAAACGTAAAAAATATATATTTGAACGTAAAATTTCCCGCCCTTTTCGAATTCCATGTTTTCCTGTAATAAATGCATTTGACCTTCAAATGACCTGACCTTTACGTGCTGGGTTTTGTAGGGACCTCGGATTTGTAATCAGTGCACCAAATAATAGGGTATCAATTTCGCTGAGGGAATTTTTCTTGTTCATTTTGTGGTCCTGTGTAATTAATTCTATATTCCCATATTTGTGATGATTACAATTAAAGTTAATAAAAAAAGATTCCATTTAAATCAAATCGTGGATTGAAAATTAATTGTTTCACCGAAAATGATTAAATTTATTTTAATAATTTTCATGAATATTTATTAATTTTCATTAATGAATATTTTTCTGAGTAAAATTTCAATTTTGAGAAATCTGAAAAAGTTTAATATTTTTGTATTTCTTCACAATTAATTTTTAACAATTTTTGTTTAATTAAAACGATTGATCAGATTGAAATATTAATATAATAAAATTGAAAATAATAAATTATATATCAATTGCTTAACCCGATCCACAATAACTGGTAGAAAATTTATTTAAATATCCAATTTGTTGTAATATAAACACTTTTTTACAAATTTACTCGAAAATTTTTTACTTAGTATAATTATAAATTGCCTTCCGCTCTTAACTCAAATAAATGTAATATAATACGAAAGTAATAATCGATTCCTTGACTGAATCTGTCACAATGAATGTATAGCTGAATATTTTCAGAAATACGCAATCCTTTCAAAGATAATGAGTTTTTTATATTAAAAAAAAAATTTTCAACCCAACCAGCGATTAAAAAATTCAATTTCATGGATGATTGCAATTTTATAAATCTATCTCAATATTCTATAAAACAAAAATAAATTTGGATCAATTATCCGAATAGAGCTATCACGGCTGAATGATACAAATATATTTATAAGTTAAAATTACAAAAAAAGAAAAAACTATAAAGAAAAAATAATCCTAATAATTTTTCTAGTGGACTATCTATGACGAACATAAAAGAAATAAAGTTCAATGGAAATATTTCTTTCAACAGGCAATTACACATTAGCAAATTTTGGTAACATTATATCAATAATTATTGAAATACCGATAGAGTATTCAGAATATATTACCTAAGAAATGTTCAGCTCAAAAAATGATTACAAAATTATTATTTACTTAGTCCTCTGTTCTCTTACTTATTTGCAGTGAAATAAAACAAAATGTTTAAATATTTCTCTCCTTAACTAAAACAGCTACCTAATACGAATACACACAGAAAAATTCTGCTACGATGTGCAAAATCCAAAACAAAGCTTTATCTAGCAATTTTCTTTCTCCCATAATTTTCAAAATATAGAGTACATTATGAAATATGTACAAACGTTACTATTTGTTGTCCACAACAAAAATATTAAACATTCGATCAAATTTACATAATTTATTTTCAATTCAACAATGAATAGTCAAAGAAAGTTTTTTTAATACAAGAAAGTTAAAGTTACCATAACGTAGGTTCATTAAACAAATGTTTTGAACGAGTAATGACATTCTCCAATGAAATTACCAATTACATAACAACGTTAATTTGTAGATATTTAGAATATAGAATATTTCAAAGAAAAACATTTTAATCCCACATATGAATGAGCTGTATGGATAGACAAATTTTTGTCCTTTTAAATACTGCATTTATTTTTGGTCATTTAATATGACGTATCTTGTGAAGCAGTACACCTATCTTATATTTTCATTTATAATAAAAGCAATTTTCAAAATAGCATTTCATGGTTTAAGAATTCAAATTGATCATTTTTTCATAAAAAAAAACAAATGATATATTAATTAATGGATTTGAATTAAATCCTTTTCCAGGTTATATATTAGCAAGTATTTTCTTTACTTATTGGTATAGATAAACCATGGATGTTAACAAAAATAATTATCAAGATATTAACACAGCAAAAAATATTTACAATTGTACATATTGATAGAAAGAAAAACATTTTAATCTCACATATGAATGAGCTGTATGGATAGACAAATTTTTGTATGTTTTGATGAAAATTGAAATAATTAGAAAATAGAAATTCTGAATTTACCAAATGCTGGTTCAAATTTTAAGAAATAAAAAGTTTTAACGGCAAGAAAGGTATTTGAAAGTTAGTATATATTACAACACTGACTTACAATAGTGAGGTGGTTATTTTCAACTATTTGATCTATTACTGTCCGCTGATCAGGTACATCATTATTCTTGTAATCATTTAGATCATTATAAAATCTTGCGCAACATTGTCAGTGTTGCAGATGCTCATTGATGCAAAATTGTTGGATTCATCTATATGCTGAAAAATAAAATTCACGCCATTATTAATAATTATTGAGAGGACAAGAAAACTATATTCCTTACATATATGTCTCATATGTATGTATAAATATATATTTGAGTATCCTGGCAAATGTAAAATTATTAAATATTATGACTATATATGCTTTTTATAAATTTTCAGTCTCAAACTATTATGTACATGAATCACATAATACACATCACTATTGAAAAATAGTTAATTTTATTTATGCCATTTAATTACAGTATAACGGGGGTTTGTATGCGCCTTCACGGTTTCCCCGTTAAACCAAGAAGAGGGAGGACGAACGAATAATCTTTCTGCGACGAGCAGCAAGTTGCGGGCTTCTTGAGGGCTGTGCGAAGCCCGACCCGATAGGGCAGTTTCTGCGGCTTACTCGACGTCAAGGCCGATGGGCCCGCGGCGGCGTCGTGGATACGACCGGGCTGAAAGCGTGAAAGTTCCCTGCCGCACGCAGAGGGAATACGTGGGAAAAGGCTGAGGGCTAGATTTTAGCTCAAAGGAAAGTTGTCGCGTTAAATAATACACGCTTTAATGAGCGAATAGAAATGGGGTACAAAAGGCGCCGCGCAGCGTAAGCGAGAGAGAGAGAGAGAAGCATTCAGCGAGCTGCAGAGAGAGAGAGAGAGAGAGATGTACGAGCTAGCACTTACAGGTCGAAGCGTTGCTCGATGGCTTTGACTCGATCGACGACGAGGGTGTCGGCTCGTCAGTCTCGGGGGCATTCGCTCTAGGACGCGCGACGCCGGTGAGAAGCGGGCGGCAGAAGCTGGCCCGCGGTAGCACGTCACGGTCACCGTTCACACACACACCCGCGCCGGCACAAGCTCGGTTTTCGGTCGCGAGGAGCCCGCGTAAAAATAGAAATTATTGGCCATAGATTGCAGAGATATTGGCGAAAAGTATTGAGGATGTATTGGGAACATATTGGCAAATGCTATTGGAATACAATTGCCAACACTTGCCTTGGATACGATTAGCAGTATGTTGCCAATAGCTGCAAAGAAAAAGAAAATTACTCGGCAATACGTTGGCAGAATGTTGCCAATAGTTGCAAAGAAAACTACTCGGCATTACTTTGGCAATATGTTGCCAATAGTTGCAAAGACAACTACTCGGCAATACATTGGCAATATGTCGCCAATAGCTGCAAAGAAAACTACTCCGCAATACGTTGTCAATATGTTGCCAATAGTTGCAGATAAAAAAGAAAACTACTCGGCAATACGTTAGCCAAATGTTGTCAATAGCTGCAAAGAAATTTACTCGGCAATACGTTGGCAATATGTTGCTAATAGCTGCAAAGAAAACTACTCAGCAATGCGTTGTCAATATATTGTCAATAGTTGCCCGCGTAAAAATCGAAAATATTGCCAATATATTGCGCATATATTGGCAAAAACTATTGTGATTTTATTGCGGATATATTGGCGACTGCTATTGGAATACACTTGCCAATAGCTGTCTTGGGTGCTACCAGCAATATGTTGCCAATAGTTGCAAAATGAGCCTAGTTTTTAGCAACTATTGGCAATATGTTGTCAACGTTGATTTTTCCCATATTTCCCCCATACTTTGCCAATATGTTGGCAATTGTTGCCAAAAAAAATTCTCCGCAATGGCTTGCTAATCTTGACAATAAAAACTAAATTTCCTTTTCTCCGTGTAAATTAAATTTGTACATCATTATTTTTTTTAAATAGATTTTATTTCTTCATAAATTAATAATAATCTTTAAGAATATAATACTAAACATTTTTAAAAAGATTGTATGATAATGTAATATTTATTGTTTATGAGTGAAATTCGAATTTATTAAAATGAGCTGTTTCAAAGATTCAGTATGACTGGAGGAACATTCAACTTCTGACTTAAACTCGATAACGAATGAAGGTCAATTTATTTTTTGGGGTGACGAATCGAACCGCACATCAAATTCACTACTGTCGTGAATGCTGCTGGACTAAGACCTTTCTCGCACTTTTTATTCACGTAGTCTGAAATATTAAAAAAAATAAATAGTAAATGAGGAAAAATAACGTGTGCTTGAAAATATTTTTAGCAAGCATGAATTCTGTAGCTTACCGGCAAACAGCCTAACTCTTTTTTCGGAACTTCGAGTTATGTGTTTTTAAAGTCTTAATAATATACGTAAAAACGGCTAGTCAATTTTCGAATTTGTTGTAGAGCAAAAATAACCTGTCCTTAGAACCGTTTAGACTAACTCTTCGCAAGAAAATAGATGAATTTACGTACCCTCTTTGAATTGAAAAAAAAAACAGCTCGAAATTACGAAAATGGAGTTACTGTTATGCGGGGAAGTTACAGAGTTGTAAAAGAGATTAGCAATATAAAAATTACTATTTGGAATTTACATTCAACGCAGCTTGCAATATCTTCTGGAATTGGTTCATGCCTAGATGAGCGGCCTCTCGCGCACATGTTTTTCAATTTTTTAGTTCCTACGAGGAGTTTGAGCAGTCGCCGAGCCATCTCTTGTGGTTTCGATTTCCACCTGTACAGACACGTCAATTCAGACTTCTTGATCCAAACCTCTGGAAAGTCCTCACATATCAAAACTTTTTTAAGTCCCGGTCGTCTGCATTCTACAAGTATATCTTCTTCAACATTTTCCTGAAAAATTCATTTTAGTATATTTCTCTTTTCATGATGTGGTATTTATGACCTATTTAATATAATTTCACATCATCTTCGGAGTAGTCAGGTGGTTCACATCCCCAAAAATTTTTCACCTGATTTTGCTGCAAATTAATTTTGAATAAATTGTTTCGAATGTAGTTTGAAAATATACTTAAGAAAAATAAATTACCCCCGGAAAGACTTCGAGTTCGCCAGCAGTCCTTTCTTGTATTTTTTTCCGCGCATGCTCATCACGATTTCGAACCTTAAAGTGTATATAATTAAGTGCTGAATAAGCTGAACTGATTCAATAAAGTTATTTATTCAACAAATATAATTAAATTTCCGGATGAAAAAATTTTTAAATAAAATGTAAGCTGAAGAAATTGTATATCATCTATTGGTTTCAACAATACTTGCCGTAGTTTCTACTGTTCTCTTCTTTTGCTGTAAACCAAAGTCTTGTCTTTTTCCGATAGGTTCTTGATTTTCTGTATCGCTATCGGTTCCGTTATCGTTGCGGCAAAATCCAGAAGTGCCTGCAGTATTAGCCGATGTTTTGCTGCTGTTTTTTTGTGATGTCTCCGCGTTATTTTCATAGCCAAATGTAGGACGAATTGGTGTCTTGTTGCTATTTTTCTTCTTGGATTGACTAGTTTCTGTTCTTTTCTAATAGTACAAAAAAGGACTATTCTTTAGTATTTTTTTTTACTGAAAGCTCAATAAAATTCGATTTGCTCCAACTGGAAGTTAGTTGGAGCAAGCATAGAAAATAATTAATTAAAAATTTTAATATACCGTTCGACGAATTTCCAGGGCATCCCACTCGAACTTGCTGTCTCTGCGCTTCTTCCTGATTCTTTTTCTTGTCGGTTCCACCTCCTCCGGAACCGCAGTTTCATTAGAACTCCGGTACATTTCCTACAAAAATGAATGAAGATTAGTCACGTACATTTCGCGGAAATATAACTGCGCCTCGAAGATTTTGTAATAGAACGTATCTTTTATAAATAATTCGACTATTTTCCATTTTCCAGAACGTATCTTTTATCGAAAAAATAATTAAAGTACGTATTCAATTTACTTGATCATGAAACTTATCGTCGTCTTTACAAGTTTTCGTTTTGGAGCTCTTCTCGTCATCAATGTCGTCAGAATCTTTTTCAATCGCCTCGGATCGTTGTCTAGATCCTGCAACATATCGACAGTTTATATCATAAACTTTTGTATCGTGAAAATATTCGAATTTCAGATAGAGCTTTTTTATTTACGATTACTTGTTGATCCAAATCGATTTTGCAGCTTTCCTGGTTCTTATTACTCTCCGAATCAGAGCTTGAAGTACCACCTGAGTTTCCAAAACCGTCATCGAAGATGGAATCGCTATCCAACAAAGCTTTGTTTTTTGTATTATTTTTAGCTTCTCTCTCTTTTTTAGCAAGCTTTTCTTGCTTTTTCAATATAGCTTTTTCTGCGTGGGCCATTTGTTTGTATGTATTTTTATTTTTCACCATCACTTCACCATCAGTAGTGATAGGTAACATATTTAAGTACTTCTCGTCATCTGGAAAACAATTAATTACAAAATCATGGTAAGCAAAACTCTATATAATTATATTTTTAAGTACTTAAAATAAAGTGTCACAATTTAATGGATTTGATAGGGTATAAATTTCAAATCAGTAAAAATCTTTACTAACCACTTTTTCTCACAATTTTCGCATTGTATAATCGGCCATCATCAAAGCGTGCCATCGTCTCTTCGCCCTCGTCTTTATCAGGCTCCAATTTATCGATGCCAATCACACTCTTGGTTTTGTAACCAGTCCACACGATTAACGCGTACATTTTGCCGATAGAATATCTTTTTTTGTTAAAAGAGATAAGGAATTACATTTAAAAAATGCACGAAACGCCACTAATTTGTCTTGGCAACTAATGACATCTGATATTAGCTGCGCAACACAGTCGAAAATCGAATATAAAAATTGTTGTTATTGAACAGTAACCTAAAATGTTGTAAGAATTATGCTTAAAATCAACTTAAATGGTGCTTTCGAATATCATTGACAATGCCGAAACAAAGATATTCTTTTGAACAATACCATCCCCGAGTACAATATCGCTTGGAATATTTATTGAAAAATGATGTCGATAACACAGTAACTGAAAGTACACTCACAGGCGAAAATACAATACATCAAGTAACCCGTAAAATTTTCTACTGCCCTCAACGATATGAATAATAAGAATAATTAATAATCCTGTATTATATTATTTATAAGCTTGAAAACCGAGATGGTATTGAAAGTTCCAATTCAAATCAATATTTTGATTGCTACGACATGGATATTGACGTGAATGTACTTCAAAAAAGCTGGCCGAATTTCAATTACGGTATGTATGTACATGTGCTTGTTTGCATATTCCATTTTACGTAGAAAAAGCAAGCATTAATCGATAGTCGCTCGAAGGTACAACAAATTTCATAGTAAGTTTGACTTCGGAAGACTAACATAATTGCATGTTGTTTTACGCGTGCGCAAAGCAAGCATTCGTAATGCTTTTTTTATACAAGTGTTATTAGAGTAAGGATTGTTTAATTATATGTTTGAGAAGTAAAAATAGAGCCTTTTTTTTTTAATATAGATTATATTACACCATTTTTCATGTTTTAATACAGATAACTACGATAGCGACGATGGCGACGATGGCGACGATTTCAGCGACACAAACAGCGTTTCGAGCAACGACGAGACTGAAGAGAAAAATCAAGAAGGATGCGATCGGGATGAAAAATTGTTCCCAGGATCATCCATTACTGTATTAGCATTCTTAATATGCGTAGCTACTCTCAAATTACGTCATGGTTTGACCAAAGTTTGCATTTCTGACATTTTGAAATTAATTGCATTGTGCTGCGTTATACCACACAAATGCCCCACTACTTATTACAAATTTGAAAAATTTTTCACTGATCAACAAACACATTTTATAAAGCACCATTATTGTAAAAAATGTCAAGCTCCTTTTAATAACACCGATCACAATATTGATAACGACGAATCCATCGAAAATGACGAGGTTAATGACGTGGGTGAATATTGTGATTGTTATGATCCTAACGAACAAAGTTATTTCTTGGAAATTCCATTGCTCCCGCAGTTAGAAAATTTATACCAACGTCAAGATTTTTATTATAGCATAAAAAATAATTCGGCTCGTATGAACAATGACGGTTATCAGGATATTTACAATGGTGAAATATATAAACAACACAATCAGCCAAACGGTATTTTATCTGATAAAAACAATATATCTTTTCTATGGTACACCGATGGAGTTAAAATTTTTAACTCATCTAAATACAACATATAGGGTTTTTTTTTAATTATTTTAGAACTACCATTAAATATGAGGTATCTTATAAAAAATGTTTTATTAATTGCTTTATGGTTCGGAGACAAAAAACCTAACCCGAATTTGTTTTTAAAGCCAGTAAAAGAACCTCTAGAAAAGCTCTATAAAGGTATTCAGGTTTACGTTCGGGATCTAGCAAAGTATATTACTATTCGAGGATTAATATGTTGTGGTACCGCAGATTTACCTGCAAAAGCTCTTTTCCTTTGCATGAATCAGTACAACGGCAGGTTTGGGTGCATGACATGTTTAGAACCAGGCCAAACGGTACAAAATACTCGTGTTTATCCATACAGAAATGAATTGCAACTTAGAACCGATAAAGAAACACTCAAAAACGTAAAACGAGCTGTGGAATCAGGAATGCCTGTTTGCGGTGTAAAAGGCCCATCTACCTTGTGTAAAGTTTGCAAAAATTACATAACATCTACTGGTATCGATATATTTCACGGTGCTTTTGAAGGTATTGCGAAAAGGATCACTCAATTACATTTTGACGCAAAATTTGCTGGCCAGAAATTTTCGCTCCAGAATTTCGTTGAAGTAGCGGATTATAGATTATGCTCAATTAAACCTCCTTGTTCTGTCGCTCGTCGACCCAGACCGATAAAAACCCATTTAAGCTACTGGAAAGCATCAGAGTTATTAAATTGGTCGATTTATTATTTTATACCAGTAATGCATGGTATAATGCCAGATGATTACTTAAATCACTATATGCTTTTCTGGCTGGGGCTTCATTTATTGTGTCAGAAGAAAGTCACAAACGAAATGATAGATCTAGCAGGAAAGTGTTTTGATAAGTATATTAAACAATTTCCAAATTTTTACGACTTGAAATTTATGACATGTAACTTACATCTATTGATACATTTGCCTTTAATGGTCCGTCGATTTGGGCCCCTTTTTACAACTTTCATGCTTTCCGCTAGAAGATTTAAATGGGAAATTGAAAGCAATGGTTCGTAGTAGTAATTCACCCCACTTACAAATCGTCTCCAATTTAAGCCTTTACATGGCTGTGTATACTTTTAGAAATTATTGGCTAAATGATAACGAGAGAGCTCAGAAATTCTGTGATAATGTTTTATCACCTATAAGAAAGCTTAAACTAACAAAAATTGGGAATAAAATATTTTTAGTCGGTACATTACTAAAAGCCATACCGAACTATGTAAATAGAATAATCGTAGAAATGAATTGGTCTGAAAAAAATATATTTGTATTTTCAAAAGCGTACAAGAACGATGTTTTATATACGTCAGAAGAGAGTCAAAAGAAAACAAAAACCGACTCGTCATATGTTAAATACGAATTTAATAATTACTACAGATTTGGTATTGTACAAAATTTTATGCGGATCACAAGCTGTACTTGTAAAAAAATATGTGATTGCAATGGTGAACATTTTGCAATTATAAAAAATCTCGACGTTGAAAACCCATTTTCAGTAGACCTACCGAAAGGTACGCTTTCAGGCTTGCATAAAACTATTCGAGTTTCGTCACGTTTAAAAGTTATTGATATTGAAAGATTGAAATGTGTTTGTTACCACGTCGGAATTGAACATGAGAATTGTGACTACATTATAGAGCCAGTTAACGTTCTTGAGAACGTATAGGTATTTTGTCTGATTCACGCGTAAGCCTGTAGAATAATAAAAAATTGTAAAAAGTTGGAATACAAATAAAATATATTTTGTTAAAAAACAAATGTTGTAAAAATATAATTGAATACGAAGAAGAATAAATTCAGTTTATATTGCTAAGATATTGTCAAGCCATTACGGAAAATTTTTCTTTGCAACAATTGCCAACATATTGGCAAAGTATGGGGGAAATATGGGAAAAATCAACGTTGACAACATATTGCCAATAGTTGCTAAAAACCGGGCTCATTTTGCAACTATTGGTAACTTATTGCTGGTAGCACCCAAGACAGCTATTGGCAAGTGTATCCCAATAGCAGTCGCCAATATATCCGCAATAAAATCACAATAGTTTTTGCCAATATATGCGCAATGTATGACCAATAGTTTCTTTTTTTACGCGGGTGCAGATAAAAAATAAAACTACTCGGCAATACCTTAGCAAAATGTTGTCAATAGCTGCAAAGAAATTTACTCAGCAATACGTTGACAATATGTTGCTAACAGTTACAAAGAAAACTATTCGGCAATACTTTGGCAATATTTTGCCAATAGTCGCAAAGAAAACTACTCAGCAATACTTTGGTAATATGTTTCCAATAGTTACAAAGAAAAAAAAATTACTCGGCAATATTTTGGCAATAATTCATATATGAACATCATTCATCTATGTTCCATTAATACATTGGTTGAAACTCAATTCACATTAGAATATATTAATTAATAACTTTTTATTTTAAACTATGTAAATTAAATTTCGAAATATTTTAGTAGTAACATTCAGGTTAAAATGGAAATTATTAGAATATTAGTTAGGATGACGTAACGATCCGCACATCAAATTAACCACCGTGGAAAATTGAGCTGGAGTGAGTCCTTTTTCGCATTTTTTGTTGACATAGTCTGAAATTTAAAGAATCGAATTGGAAAATAAGAAAAGCAATTTTTTTAAGATGCAAAAATGAATACTTACATTCGACGCAATTTGAAATATCTTCTGGAACTGCGATATGTTTAGATGAACGACCTCTTGCGCACATATTTTTTAAATTTTGAACTCCTACAAGCAATTTCAGCAACCGACGCGCCATTTCATTTGGCTTACTTTTCCATCTATACACGCACGTCAAATCTGCCTTCTTAATCCAAACTTCAGGAAAATCATCACATATTAAAACTTTATCAACTGCTGGTCGTCGGCATTGAATTAATGGATCTTCATCTTCCTGCGAAATTTAATATTATAATTTGTATAGTTTCGTAAAATATCGGTAGCCTATTGCAGTTAATTTACCTCGTATCGATCGTCAACTAAGTTTTCTCTGTGATAATCCCTTTCCTGTTGCTGAATTTCCCTGCGTTCCTAAAACCACAATAGAGAATACAATATAGAGAGTACGTATATTATTAAAAAAATATTAGTATCCAAAATGAATTCATTCTTCATGACTTTATTTTTATAATTTTTTTTAACTTGCCAACACTCTTTTCTCTTTCTCCACGTGATTTTCTGCACGCCCGGGGGATTGGCTACTATTCCTATTTTCTGCACGGCCGGGGGATTGGCTGTTATCACTAACCTCCTCTCCATAATTTTGCGATTTCCCAAAATCATTTGCAGTGGCACTCCTTGATTTTCCGCTATTGAGAAACTGTCTTGGCGGGCTGTCATAGAAAGATGGACTGATACGCAAAAGTGTACTGTTATTTAAAGTTGGACTGTGATGCAAAGGTGTACTGCTAGTCGCAGGCGTAGTCTCATTGACCATAAGACTTGTTTTTTTATTTGCTGATGATTTGCTGCTGCTTTTCTTTGCAAAATTATCTTTTTGTTTCTGTAAAGAGATGATTATTTATACAAAATTATATACAAATTTATACAAAAACGGTCAAGTACGCTTAGGACTCTAGCCAAGCTTTTACAG